AGAGAGAATGAAGATGTTAGGTTAGGTTAGAGTTAGTCATGCAGAAAGAATGGTGATTTGCACAGTTCATATGTGGAAATTGGCATAAAATAACTTTTGTATCAAACTCTGACGTCTGTTTAATAAAGGGCTACGCCTACGTGACGTCATTGTTATTGTCAAAATGTCTTAAACAAACGCCATCTTAAACCATTAAATACGTAGATTCAATGATTTTTTTAACAATTTAAAATTAACATGTATCGTAATGGTGGTAATACTTTGGTATAATTTAAAGTCTTAAGAAATTTCAAATGGTTTTAAATCGTGTATTATTAAGTTAGTTTCATATTAAAGACAATATTTAATTCGAAATTCTTTAGAGCCTATAATCGTAAATTCCTAATAAATGTATTTTCCGTTCACACTGTAAATATTATAGCCTGAAGGCACGAATGAAGAAACAATATCTGCATCTAAAGTTGTGGTTTCCCAACCAGAACGTCTGAGTTCCGTAAAATCGTAGTTTTTATCGACTGGCTCAAATTCACGATTCTGTTCACGTCTACTGTGCACTTCTAACTAACTAACTAACTAGCTAACTTACGTACTTACTCCCTGGTAGCAGAACCCGGGGGTCCATCACCGACAACACCAAAGCCTGCCTCCGGCCACGACCCTGAGCCAACTTCATCCATTTTCCATCTTGATGTTAACCTTCCATCTCATTCTTTGTCTAACCAGTGGTAGTTTTACAGAATGATGCCCTACCCAAGTCCTGTATGCACACCTTGTCTTCTCCCCATGCGTGCTATATGTCCAGCCCATCGGAGCCTCCTAGATTTCACTATTCTCACTATGTTCGGTGACACGTACAATTCATTGTGAAATATTCCAAATTCCCCACTTTATTTCACCATTCCTAGGTTCAAATATCCTCCTGAGCTCCCTGTTTTCAAACGCTTCTAATATACGTTCTTCCTTCAAGGTAAGAGACCATGTTTCACAACTATACAAGACAGCAGGCTAAATTATTGTTCTACACACCCTGACCTTTGGTGTTTTGGATAGAAGACGAGATGATGACAGTTTTTGAACAGAATTCTCGAATGTATTCTACTCTTAATTTAATCATGGACCTAATTTTGGTTTACTCCCAAAACAATATTCGATGTAAACTGCACCTAAAAAGAACCAGGCATTCCTTCCTTCTTTCTTATCGTGTCTGTCCATCTGTCATACTGTGACGTCATGAAGGAGCCTGGACACAATCTGTCCCAACTACTCTCAGCAAACTCTGCCAACTCTGTTAAAGACCTGTCAAAACTTTCGATTCGTTGCACCATTCGACCTCACTAATTATTTTATGGCAGGGCGTTTAACAACGTTGTATCAAATGCATAAGTTTAGGGTCGAGATCAGATTAGTTCGGTTCTAATTACGGGAAGGAAACCATCAGAAATAAACAAGTAGGCCTACTGATAAACAGCAGGAAAACATTGAACTATTAATAATTTAACCCAGTTAGGATGTAACAAACTTATAACGAGGAATAAAGTCTGAAATGTGTGGACATCCTGCATATAGAGCCTACTATAACTCATTTTTAAGATTTATTGGCATTAAAAAATTCATATGTCAATAAAATATGCATTCCAAGTAGGGCAAATGAGAGATGACTTTTCCCCTCAAACATGTTTCATATGACACTGCCAGGTACCTATTTTTGAAATAGAAAATAACATGAATACTGTCTTTTGCAGTACTAGCAACATTTTACACAACAGCAGCTTTTAGATTAACTACAACTAATATATTGAAAGCGGATCTGATAGGAGCCCTGAAGCTAATAGATTTAAATGCAATTATTACGTATTTAACAATAAAAAAGAACCACTACAATATTTATTTTTATACTAATTATTTAATTACCTCCACATAGCCTATTTCGAAATCCAAGATAGCTACGAGTGGGTGCTATGAATATTTCATGTTAATTTATATAGCTCCTAACACGGATTAGCCTATATGTATTCTGCGGTTAGCAACACATTTTGTATGAGTTCAAAATTTGACAAACAAATTCCTGTAAACTTCTGAATAAGTTGTTAATTTTCAACATCTAGTGTATATCATATTTGTTCTAGTTGTAAAAAGGTACCAAAATGCCTAAGAACTTTGCAAGACATTCTCCACATCATTGAATACAGTAAATAGTAATTATAAATTTCCTAAATTAAAACTACAAAATAATAAAATATTATAATGTCATAATGGATACTTAGTTATAATTACAAATAAATTAATAAGTTTTAATATTTATGTTGCAGCCATAATATAAACCCGTCATAAATTGGCGCCAAAACCCCTGGGAATTTTGCAAGAGCTCCTCCACACGAATGAATATAGTAAATAGTAAATACATAATTCCTAAATTAAAACTACAAAATAAGAAAATATTATGTCATAATGCATACTTAGTTATAATTAGAAACAAATTAATAAGTTTCAATATTTATGTTGCAGCCATAATATAAACCCGTCATAAATTGGCGCCAAAACCCCTGGGAATTTTGCAAGAGCTCCTCCACATAAATGAATATAGTAAATAGTAAATACATAATTCCTAAATTAAAACTACAAAATAAGAAAATATTATGTCATAATGCATACTTAGTTATAATTAGAAATAAATTAATAAGTTTCAATATTTTTAATGGGCCATATAAAAACCCTCGTTATAAACAGGCGCCAAAATGCCCAAGAACTTTGAAAGTGGCTCTCCGTATTAACGAAAATCGTAAACATTAGCTAAGCATACAATTTCTAGCCTGGTATATAAGTTAAGTCAAAATTATAATTAATGTAACACTTTCTATCGCATCTAATTTAAAGAAAAAAATATGAAATCAAACTTGTAAGTTACCTAGTCAATGTACACAAACACGTACTGTACCTGGCTAGCACAAACACAGGCGCGCAATTCCACTCTCACCGAATGATGCAACGACTCTGCTCGTGATTGGTCGTTGCGCCGTGTTAATATGCACCGTGATATCAGTTGCTCCGATAGATGTCAGCACCTGTCAGCAACTTTAGCACTTGTGCCTCAACTAACATGGCGGATTTATTTATGTATCTGAGGGTGTTTATTAGGTAACGCTGCTTTCTAGAGCTCTGTCCTACTTGAATACAGTGCAGGCGAATTGATATTTTTTTTAAAGCTGAGAAATCAGCAATGAACAGGTTGCAACAGCAAGGTCACGTGGTCTCGATTTGCCGTTGCTATGGAAACGATGGTCTGATGCGTGGGAACGACCACCTAGCAAGTGTTGACAAAGAAAGTCACGTACTGTGACCGTATGCCCCAATTGTCAACTTTTTCGTAGTAGTACTTAGTTGCCCTGTATAAAAGAGATGAAATAGCTTGTTACAAATTTATTAACTTATGTTTCTCTCTCCTTATTTATCTCTTTCTTTCTTTATCCTCCTTGATTATTACTCATTTGTTTACTCTCCAAAAGCCACACACCGTCCTGTTCAAAATTGCAAGTAGTGATAACAGTTTAAGGGTCACTATATAGTTTTCTTGTCTTATAAACATTAAAATATACAACATCCAAGTTGTTTTTCTTTGTTGCAGGCGTGTCTCACTCACGCTCAGAAGTGATAGATTAAGGGAATTTGAGTTCATAATTCTTTCATCCAAATCAATTTCATGTTTTTTTATGTCCCCTTCAAACACAATAACCAATTTGTTTTGGGCGTTCAAATTTTTGGGACGTCTTAAACTTAACATAGCTTGGACCCAGAGATAGTCAAAATCTGGCCCTTACCATCTGGCATTCTTGTAAACATAGTAATGAAATTTTGGGCTCTATAACAGCGAGCGAAATTTTAACTAGCTGATGCTACTATTTGATTGAGTCAAGAAGAATGATATTGGTTGGGCATGTGAACCGGGTTTTGGTATAGAAATCTGAGGGGAAGAGACCGCTGGGGAGACTTAGACGTAGATGGGATGATAATCTCAGGAGGGATCTATGGGAGATAGGAGTTGAAGGAGAATGGATTTTTTTCGCCCAGGACAGGATCCGGTGGAGGCCATTGGTAAATTCAATGATGAACCTTCGGTTTCTGTAAGCCATCGTGTAACTTAATTAAAACCACTGTTCGATATTCGTTTCTGAAGATCTTTTCCGCGGAGATGCATTTTTATGCACAACCTTCCATCTAGTGAACTTATGACAAAAATGTACTAGTAAAAAGGACTGGTTTTGAATTTAAATGTGATCATTCATTCCAGAAGACAAATTCCTATTTCCAGTGGTAGTCAGAGGTATCAGTCGTTTTCTTATTCATTCCAGATAGCACTTCCTATCTTCAGTGAAATTCAGTGCTATCAATTGTATTTCAGTTGTATCACAAAATTTGATTGAAGCCACAAATCTGTTACTGGTCTGTGGGGTAATCATAACTGTTTTCTGATATTGTTTTTTATTAGTAATTGTATTCCATAAAACCTATCAGTCATGGAATATGGAATATTTCAAACGCTGTTGTGTTGTGTTGTGTTGCATTGGCAATACTGCTTGCCGTGCAGCGCTGCATAAACGTAAGGAGTCGACAAAACGAGAAGAAATTTGAAGTGAGCTCCTCGTGACGTCTCTTTGATCATGTTATTTTTCTTACGTCATACAGTACTGAATACTAATAAAAGAAAGCTAAAATCCGTTTATGTCGTTTATCATTCATTCCAGAAGACAATTCCTATTTCCAGTGGTAGTCAGAGGTATCAGTCGTTTTCTTATTCATTCCAGATAGCACTTCCTATCTTCAGTGAAATTCAGTGCTATCAATTGTATTTCAGTTGTATCACAAAATTAGATTGAAGCCACAAATCTCTTACTGGTCTGTGGGGTAATCATGACTGTTTTCTGATATTGTTTTTCATTAGTAATTGTATTCCGTAAAACCTATCAGTCATGAAATGTGGAATATTTCAAACGCTGTTGTGTTGTGTTGTGTTGCGTTGGCAATACTGCTTGCCGTGCAGCGGGGCATAAACGTAAGAATTCGACAAAACGAGAAGAAAGTTGAAGTGAGCTCCTCGTGACGTCTCTTTGATCCTGTTATTTTTCTTACGTCATACAGTACTGAATACTAATAAAAGAAAGGTAATATCCGTTTATTTTTAATATGTGTGTAAATTAGCTATGTTAATTTCTTTACAAATGTGTAAAACAAATATTTGTCTTCATTACAGTTAATCTATGCTTGACTGGCGTGTTCTTAGTGCACTCCAGTGGTAGATAGTGGTAACAGTTTAAAAGTGGTGGAGCGTTAGTGTGGAAGTTGTGTAGTGAAGTTTTGTTTTATTGTAATTGATTTAGGCGAGTGTCTGGGACTAAAAGTAGAGCATAATATTGTTTATAATCGTGGCAAATAATGAATTTGTTTATTTCTTTTACACAGGAATTGTAATGCCTGCACGAAAGAGTATGCTTGGGAAGCGAAAAAATATCCCGCGACCTACTCCAATTCAACGCCCAGTTCCAGCCATAAAACATCGTCTTGGAACGAGTAAGAAATCTGCTCTTTGTTTATCTGTTGAACATGAAATTGAGTCCTAATAATCTTTGTGTTGTGCATTGTGATGCCATGTAGACTAACTGGTAGGTATCAATTTGAGAAGCATACTGCCTCCATTTCATTTTTGAAAAAATGTCACATTGTTGTTATTTAGTTAAAAATAATGCAGATAAGAGCATTGCTAACACAATTTATAAAATTGAATACTGCAGCCATACTATGACTATAACTAACTGTATTTGTGTTACACCACTCAGAACAAGAAACTGATGCTCCCTGCATTGCTAAAAGTGTAGTATGCTCACTAGGCACTTTTTTCAAGAATAGCTATAGCAGGATTTAAATGTGTGAAGGAGAATGTTTATTTGGAATTTATTTTGCATATCAACATAATGCAAACTTGAATTGCACATATATTCAGTTGCATTTGTTTGCACTAGATAGTGTACTTAGTACCAAAGTCTTATCTAATGTAAAAAAGTAAATATATATATTTTGTAGGTGCAGTAAAATGCAAACGTCCAGAACATGTGAATCTGTTGCGTGCTAGATGCGAAGAAGTGTGGTCACCATCAGAGGAAGTGCTAACGAGGAATCAGAAGAATAAAACTCTGGTATGATACATGTTTTAGTTTTTATTTTATGATTTACTTGTGACAATTCCTTGTATTGAAATTTTTATATCTGTACTTCTCAGTGCTTAGAGTGGAATCATATGGATACCTAAGGGAAATATTTGTGAAATTGGTGAAGTAATGTATCAGAAATCTGTGTACTGAATCTATCACAGCTTCTTGGTAAAGAGATTCTGGTAAGAAATGAGATATGGCCCATACGGTCAGGATACGTCCATTAGTTTCTTAGTATGCTTTCTTAGCTGTGTGCTTTATAAAGCATCAGATAGAAGGATGATTGTGAATTAATTGGTATAACTAAAACTATCAGACAACAATTTCTGGATTGTAAAGTACACTATTACATTATGAAAATATTTCTGAAGAAGTTGTTGAAGATTTGCATTCTTTTAATTAGAATTTAATTACAAAGGCCCTTTTGTTTTGTTTTTTCTCTGTTTTTAGGATTTTTCAGCTAAAAAGAGAAAGGTAGAGCCATCTGATTATGCACGCAGTATCTTAAATGCTGCAAAGGGTAAGGAGAACAGTGGTTCAAGATTTGGACTCAACTCTGTTACAAATAATACTGAAAGACGTACTGCGGTTCAATGTTCGCAGCATACCACTCTGAAGACTGCTGTTTCCTCAAAAAGTGTCGGAACATCTTGCTTCGGCAGTAGACTGCCGGTTCCAGAGGCGCCTCTGCTGCTAAAATCCAACAGATCAAAAAGGCTCGTGGGTCTCAGAAGTGACAGTCCAGCAAAATCTAGTGAACTTGGTCAAACATTTCCAGCATTTGATGCTACAATAGCGGGAAACAGCGCAAAATCTAATCTTCTCAGTTGTAATAGGTTGCTCAAAAGTCGCCTTTCAACGGAATCTAGCAAATTGGGTGGAAAATTTACTGCGACTGGTCCTGTGGTGTTAGGAACTAGTGAAATACCTAAACTTGATTCTAACAGGCCGCCCAGGCTTGCAGGCGTTGCAAATCACCCTTCAGCAAAATCTACTAAATTAGAAACATTTCCAGCGCCTGATTCTAAACAAACGGGAGGAATAAATTATGCACGTAAATGTCTAACTTACGGCACATTACAGAGGTCTGCAATTTTCAGAGACGTATATGCTTCGGAATCAAACGAATTGTCTAAAGAATTGACATCAGAGGTTGGAGTTATGGGAGTCCGCGATGAGTCCAGATTTCGTAAATCACAAAGGCTGGAAGGTTACGTACGTCAAGACATGTCCAGTCGAGTTACGTCTCAGGATGTAGGAACACACGGCTTAAGCACATCTTTTCTATACAAATCTAATAATTTACAAGGAGTCGAGAGATTCGCTTCTCAGAATAACATAGAATCTGACATATCTGGTGTAGGGTTGGTTCATAATTATGGGGAAGTGGAAACAAAAGATGCATCCATACTTACACGTGATCAGTTACAGAGTCGTGAAAGTCATACGCAACTGCGCGGAACAGATGAGATTCATCATGTGACAGGAAAGACTTCAGCTGCAGAGACATCTACAGTTTTCATGTCTAAATTACCAAAAGTTGTTACAACATTTGTAAATGAGGTCATGAAATCACGTAAGGGAGTTAGTAACGCTGCATCGTTGTGTTATCCGACAACAAATAAGCGTGGCGTGTCATTCCAAGGGTCTCTTCTCATGAGAGAAGACGCACCTAGCAAATTAGTTGCAAGGGAACATGAAGAAACTATTGCTAATTCAGGGAAATCAAAATTGTCTCCTTTTACCAAAAGAATGTATCCTGCTTCACATACATTTACAAGTTTCACAAACCCAGAAATGATTAATAATGCAGCTGTAATTCCCTCTAAGGAACATGATAATATATCGGCTTCTTATATTAGGAGGAGGACCACAGAATGTTCTTTGCCAAAATTTTCACAGCCTGTAAAATTCTCTTATATTGGTACTTCCATCGATAAGAGCGCGATAGCGAGTGGTACTAAAAGAAAAAGATCTACAGAGAAATCCATAGATCGTCATGTTTGTATACCTTCACAGAGCCCTTTTAATCAGCAAAACTGCGGAGAACCTGACCAAGCTCTTACAAAACCCAGTCTGCTACGTAACTCGACTGATTCGAGGCTTTCAGAAAAGTCGTCACAAACAGATTTAATTTTGCAAAAGGACGCAATTGTGCAGACTGACGGTTCGGGTTGTGTAAGGTCAGCTATAGAAAAATTAGTTGGTCTGTTCGAAAAACAAGAAGGAGAAATACAGGAAGTTCTTAGACAGGCAAATGTTATACGTGATGAGACGATAAAAATCTTAAAAATGTTTGGCAATGAGGAGGAAGATAAGATAAACAATGACGGCACCGGAAGAGAAAATCACGTTCCTGATGGAAGTCTGGCTCGTACTTACAATGATCCAGACATTTCTTCGAGAAGTTCCATCTCAGCAACGCCGTTGAGGCGTTCCGCAAGAATCGCCGCCCAGATGCCCGGCGCAGTCGATGCCGAGACCAGATCTGTACCGGCCACGCCTACGCGATTTGAACCCGATGAAGGTGTTGATCGTCCAAGTGCAGGTTCTCGTTCGAGATGCTCGGCAGTGAAGCCGAGTAAGTCGACATCTGTTTATAGAGATCTGCGTTCCAGCTTTCGTTTTCTGAAAACTCCTCAGAGTACAAGGTGTTCTCGCGCGAGAACTCCAAAAAATACGCCCACTCGAATTTTGTCCCGGCGTTTGCAAGATCAGATATCGTCTCTGTATAATTGAAAGGCGTGATTATTATTAGTGTTATAGAATTTTGGAACTTGGTGCAATAAAAATTTAGCTTCCTTCATGTAATTTGTATGAAGGCTGTAAGAACAATTGAAAAAAAATTTGTAGTAATTTCTTTCTCTTCGTTACTAGTACCTGAGTGGCGAATCATCGATCAAGACGGTTAAATATTTCCCTCTGTAATTTCTCATAAATTCTGAGTGAATGGCAGAATGAATTCTGTAAATGTTTCAGTACACATTTTGGTCGCATATTAATTATGATTGATGTGATATTGGTTGTATTATTTTTATATTTTTGCAAGTGTGCAAGTTTCATGTTCCGAAGTTCACAGTGAGAAAAATCAAATTTTAAATTGTTTCACGTCGTTGGCCAGTGACTTCTTGAACTGTTGTTATGTTCCCTACAAAACTTCATGAAATGAGGGTGTGTGAAACTATAAAAGTAACAATACTTATTAGTTATTATTAATTTTAAGTGCTCAGCAATGGTACTTCGACCGGGAGAGCTCGTATTGAAGTTTTCTCGTCTGTCGTTACGGGTTTGCACTTCGTCAAAAGTTTGAAAGTACCTGAATGCAATCTTCATATTTGACGTCAATTTATCCGAGTACCACTTTCGGTAGAGCGTACTTACAGCCAACATTTTTGCGCCAGGGGAAAGAATCAGAACACATTCGGGAGTTTAAAATTTGGGGTACTACAACGAAGAAAACATCTGCTACTTCAAATTCTGGACTGGTCATTACGCTATTTATGGTGATTATTGGATTTATCGATTGCGTGGGATAGAAACTTGTTTCAATCCCTTACGAATGAGACATATTTTACATTTAGTTTGTAGGAAGGAACTGACAGTGTGCTTTGGAACAGAAGACGTAAACATCGGATACTTGTTAAGTCTGAGGTGGGGAGAATATGAAAAGTTTTTATGTAAGCTTCTACACTGGCTAAGCTACATTTAGGAATTTCTTTTCTGCTAATAAGTGGTTTAATGATTTAGCGTCTTGAGTGTTGCATGTGATACGCTAATTGGTTTGGTCGTTGAGATAGGAAGAATATTATTGCTTGATGTTAATTTATGTAATAGTCCATTTGATTGATTTATCGCTAACAATTCTATTTACCACTGCTGTGTGGCGAAATTAGATTGCGCCACACAGCAGTAAACTTAAGAAATTTAATTGAACATTTGCTGTATTTAAAATTTTTGAATGGCATAGCTGTTTTTTTTTAATGTTTTAGGGAACTATCTTGAAATGGATTTGTAAATAGTTTCGGGTATAATTTTGTAACTGGTAATACCCACTGTATGGTGTCCGTAGTCGTAATGTGCTTAATATGTTTCCTGCTGTATTCTTACGTCCCTCCTGTGTTTCTTTACTCTGTCCGTAGTCGTAATGTGCTTAATATGTCTCCTGCTGTATTCTTACGTCCGTCTACCCCCTCCTCCTTTTTTACATGGATGATGTCATATTTACCTATTCGACGTCAAATTTTCATTTTACGTCCGTATGAGTAAGAGCCGCGTCTGTAAAGGCGATGTTTCGCAATGCTTATTAATACTTTTCAATATTTAATTTACATATTTTTCAGTAACATATGTCGAATACTACGTTTAAAGATACAGAGTTTTTATATGAACAGACTATTAATTGAATTTAATTTCATAGATATCTTTTTAGAAATTTGTGTGTGTTGTAATTCTTACAGTTTTAGTAATAGGTTTTGAATAAATATAAACATTTACACGATTACAAGTGGCATTTCTTTTGTGAACACAGAATATTGTATTACCGTGATGTTTTCTTATATTCATATATTATGAGCGTGGTTTACGTTTCAAGATGTGGAACAATTTATTCTTTGTATTTTTCAAGATGGTCTCGGTCTTTAATCCTCCGTTAAACACTTCTGAAAGCGATTAAATTCTCCCAGGCAGTGACGCATTAGAGGATTTTATCACTTTCAGTCGTAATTAAAGCTTCGACACGTCGTAGAAGCCGTTTCTTGTTTCTCTACGAGCCGTTTTAACACGGGAGTCGTTAAACAATTTGTAACTGGACACGTAATTTTAAACTGTGATTCCTTCCTGTTAGACGCAGTTCCATTCAACTGCTCACTAGTCACTGTGCCGCAATCGGAGCGAACTCAGATATGCTTGCCCGTCAGCCGCGATGCATTTTAGGGAGAGGACTTGTTTATTTATTGTAAGTTTGGCTAAGGAACAAATTTTTAATTGTTTTATTCTAAAATTTTATTAAATCTACATATTAGACTTTGCAGTCAATCTTGGAGTATTTATGTACACTGAAGAGAAATTGAAGGGTCCAGTGCAAAGATGGTTGACCCTGATTTGGGATGAAGTTTAGTTTTATATCGTTTTATGCATTAAAAAAAATTGCATGTTGTATCGGCGGATGAACAGCGCAGCTAAAGTCATTAATTACAGTGAAAAACGAGCCATGCTGCGTTGTGTTAATTGTTTTCAAATTTTTTAAAGTGGAACTACGTCCTTTTTGCACTGGACTCTCCAAGTCCTTAAACATAAAACGAAGTTTGATATAAAACTGCTATTGAAGCACTACATTATATATTGAAGCTATTTATGTTGTATCAAATTTATTAGTAATGTGACTTAAGGTTCATAAAATCGTGTCAAAAATTTGTTGTTTGTTTTTTTGTTCTTACCAGCCAATGACTTGGTCATGTCTTACAGTCAAATTTGATTATAATAACATGACAGTTATGAACTGACACAATAGCAGTACATTTTCAGTACAGGATCATTTATACAAATGCTTTGACTCCAATACGCATTTATTCTGCTCACAATACCCAGCATTTGAAATGTGTTATTTTTTATAAATTGTCTGACAGTTGCCTCGAACAGTGCCCCACCTGGTAGTGTTTCAATCATAACCACATATTCTTTGTGTTCCGATTGATCGTGCACTCTACCGCGCACGTTCACAAGACGATTTAACCTCAGGTCTGAGCACTTTTTTAATATTTGCGTTCTGTTCACTGTCTTCAGTAATTGGGATTGAATTTCGGATAACACAAATTTTGCCACAGATTGAACTGTGTCGCCTGTCGTTGATAGCGTCTGGTATTGATTACACGTGCACCAATGTGGATTTATTCCGGCATCCCCGCAAGATCTATCGTATGGTACTTCCCCAAAGAGGCTGGTACACTTCGGACATCCAGCGCTACCATTAATAGACGACAAATCTTTTGTATTTTCAACACTTTCACGGTTCTGACGAAGAATGTCTCTGAGCGTCATGTGGATGTCGTATGGAGAAGTAAGACGATCTCTGTTTGTTACAAGGTTCTTTTCTATCTCAGGATGTTGTTGTCTGTACCACAGGGGAATCCACACGTAGATGAAAGGCAGACGTTCCTCCAACCATCCAATAAATGTCTCTCGTATTCTTCCAAATCGCATTCCGTGGTCACTGAGGAAGATCACGAATGTGTTATTGAGAGTCCCGATTTCTGCGAGCTCGTTAAAAAATTGCATAAACCGGAAGTCCATGGCCGCGGGAGTGTTATGATTATTGTGACTCAGATTGTTGATCCAGAGAAGAGCGAAATATAGGGAGTGTCTAAACGTTGATGCAATATCTGTAGCGTATCTTAATAAATGTTCAGTGGTTGATGTAGGACCTAAACAAATGTTAAGTTGATCTCTCATCTTTGATTGTAGTTCCTTTTCTGCTGCGAGGATGAATGGTCTGAGGTAATAATCAGTAGGAGGATTTATGAATCCAGTCTTCTGATAATTGAATGTCGACATTTTGGTTATGTCTTCACCGAAAGCTGTCACGTAACCTTGCTTACTGAATTCGTACCATATGTAAGGGCAGTCATCCAGTTCTGTATCTCTGGTAGGCCAGCAGGTCTTTTTCACCTGGTCCAAGCTCAGTCCAGTGATGATGGCCATCAGGTTTGGAAATGTGTTATCGGCCACTTTATTGTATCCTCGTAGTTCGATCCAACCGTTACGATGAAGATGTGACACTGTTTGTGGCATCGTTCGAATGAGGTTCAGACGAGATATTGAATCGAGACCTATAAAAAGGACACTTGGCTTGTTTCTGTCTTGTGAATTATTTTTCTGTTGCGTCTTGGCGAGCTTTGCAAGAACTTGAGGCTTCGCGGGGACCGTGGCGTGCATGTTACTGTATATCTCCTTTACTTTAGAATCTTTCTTATGGATATTACATCTGACTAGGACAAATTCTGACCCTGGCTTTAGGATGACTTCTTCCTCAAAATCCACACATTTGTTAATGCTGAAACAGAAGAATTATTAATAGTTATTGCTAATTGGAAGTAAGATTATAGGGGCTACAAAGTAGGAATCTCTTTTCTATTGCTGGCCTTGTAATCCTGGGGTCTCGGGTTCGATTCCCGGCGGTGCCCGAATTTATAACTTGTGTTGGGCAAGGCCGTGGTCTAGGCAACACGGAGTTTTCCTCCGGGGGCTTCCCCGGTTTCTCCGTGGCATCCCAACAATTACTCCATCCACACACAGAAGAAGGCAATGGCAAACCACGTCTGGATCATCTGCCAAGAACGTACATGAACAGGTCCCAGTCCGAGAAAAGGAGGGAAGGATCCTGTTCATAATGTCGCCAACCTCCTGTAAAGGAGACGGCGTAATAAAGAAGAAATCCAGCTGGATGTCCATTAAACTGCTTTTATTTACGGTGTTACCGCAATGTCAAACCACTTCTGGATCATCTGCCAAGAACGTATATGAACAGGTCCCAGTCCGAGAAAAGGATGGAAGGATCCTGTTCATATGGACCTGTCGTCAGACAGAACACTAATAAATAATAAAATAAATAGTTTGGGTTAATTGAAATCACTTGCAAGAGAATTGGCGAAGTGTAATTTGTATTTTGTGGGAGTGCAGGTCAGGCGGGACACGGATGGGACTGAACTAGTGGATGACCCGGTTTTTATATGGAAATGGAATAATTGTTATTACTTAAGGATGCTGATGCAAAGACATGTTAATACTGCTACTAAAGCTTTACGTAACCTATGCTTTGATAAGGTTTTACTGAATGACTGTCTATCCCTATTACTATCCCCACTTAATGGTACCCGCACTTTCTAGTGGTGATGGGGCTTGAGTACCTCAGTGACCCCAAGAGCTGTGCCATAGAAGAAGTTCCCAAAACTATAGGCTTTTATAATTGTAGACCCTTTCTTTTCGCCCATTTAATGTGATGTACTTCTCCAAGTCAAACTTTTATACTTACTTATACGTGCTATCTGCCATTTTGTTATCCTTTACATTTGGTATGGCCCGCGTGATATCCGCGTAGCAGCAAGAGTATCTCTGTTTATTTGGTACATAGTAGTGCACCATTCCAGGGTCAACTTTCAGAACGTACGGGGCAGTCCAGTTGTTTTCTGCGTGTGCTGCTGTGGGGGTGTTGATATAGGTCAGTGGACCAAACTTTGAACACACAATGGATTCTGCAGACTTCAGAAATTTCCTAATTGACTCGTGATGCGGGTCCATGTCGGGGATCTGGCAGCTCGGACTCCAAACCAGGTAGCCTTCTTTAACTGTGGGCATATAACGAGATTTGTGAGAATGTCTAAATATAGATTTAAAATCTTGATTATTAAAAAAAAAATTAAAATTATCGCTGTAAAGATATGATTTGAGATTCTTACAGCAGTGGAGATTATATCGTGGCGTTCTGAGTCGTGATGCCATGTGGTCTTGTACATGGTTACCACTTACAAGACAACAGCGTCACAAGCCAGAATATCACAATCAACGCCCTGCAAAGTTGTATTGGGAGTGAAACTCCATTTATTCTGGACCTTGACAATAAAAATGGAAATGAGCAGTCAGCTTCACACTCTGACTGGTTTTATCTCTGAGAACATCTGATACAGAGTAGAAAACTGCGTTGAGACGCAGAACCTGAATTTTATAATTCTTTTGTCCATCCTGTAGCCAGTTCTTCTTCAGGTTCTAAAGGTTCAAAGCGACATAATGGGAAAGGCTTTGAAGTCTTTGTGAGAGAACGTAAGAGTGCTTACGGGGTACAGATGAATTTTCTTTCTTCTCTTGTTCGTTGCTGAAGACCGGTAGTGTGGACGGGTTGGCTTGCATCGGCTGGCCGAATCCGAGCAGGTAGAACATGGACACCAGAGTAATACAGGCGATTATGGCGATCACCCGAAGACATGGCTTTGTCTGTGAACCAAGCCCAACCATGGTGTCTGAAGGACACTGGCGAAGCTTACGCGCATCTGCAAAGAGAAACACCAAGTTTTTCACAAAACCTACTCTTGTGGTTCTGTTTTAAAACTGTGTTTCTTAGCAATAAGTGGGTTTATACAGGCTTATGTAAGGCAGAGAAGAATTCCTTTTGCTGTCCACTACAAGTGCCAGGTCTCAAACTAAAATGCGTTCTCTGAGAGGTCTTTGCCTTAGGAACAAGCTAATTGCCTTAGCTAAAATACTTGTTATCTTATTTGTATAATTACTTCTGATAAGCATCACCTGCGTGACTGAGTTTTGCCTTGTAAAACTCCACACTGTCTTATCTTTACCCCCTCTTCATTATATTTTAATTGTCTCCCTAAAAACTTTATCAGAACTGTCACATACTCTGCAAAAATATTTGTCTTTGAAGCCAATACAACATTTTATATGAGCAGGGGGGAAAATATTGATTTCTTCTTTTGTTTTTTGTCTCGAAGCTCGGAAAAAAGGGCGTAACTTAATCGCGTTTATATTGATCAAATAATTGTCCTTACTCTTAGAAATAATTTATACATCCCCACGAAATGAAAATAAAATGGACGCACCTAGCTTAAAAAGACGTGTTTAATTAGTGTAGGAGCTCTGGAGGGACATTTGTATTGGAATAGACAGAATATTTTACTTGGCAGTCGATGTCAATCATCTGGGTTGCAATGTCTCCATCTTCAGGGCGGAAGTGGATGCAGTTTGTTCCTCCAAAGCGGTGGTATCCACCTACAGACGGTGTTGAATCTAGAAGACTCACATCGATATCTTCACCGCTGTGAGAACCTCAAATTTCATAAAAACTAACAAAACAATTAACTAGAAAAGGCTGGTTACTAACTACACGGCTTCACAACCCAGAGGTGTAACACCATCAATTATTTAACTTGTTTCTGTGGTCTAGAGTAGATGGCCGAATGGATGAAGGTGTTAACAGGAAACGAATGTTTTTAAATAATACTTAATAATTCGGCCCGTACCGCGAAGAAAACACTACACTTCACCATTACAAAGATCGACTGGTTAACGCTGTTTAAGGAAATAATCGCTGTTTCACACGAAAGCCATTGATACAATACGTATGCATCTGAATGATATTTAAATATTCAGTCCGTACCGCGTAGTAAACACTATACTTCACCATTAAAAAGATCAACTGGTTAACGCTGTTCAAGGAGATAATCGATGTTTATAATGAGAATCACACGAAACACGTAAATAAATATTGCAGATTTCCTTATTGTTAAAGCAGGTTTTAAAGAGTTGACAACTAACGTCGTGTATTCATGATTTGAATGACTGAGCACACCGACGTAATGTTGGCGCTACCTTTTGCAATATGAAGTGTCTCTCTCTCTCTCTCTTTACGAACCTTATGTGAACAGCGAAAATGAATTGTTTCAACAAGGAGAAAGTCACATCAGATGCACGTGGGGCGAATTGTGAGACCATCGCTTGTTCTGTGTTTGGATTGACCAAATTACATCAGGTAAATGAGCGTAATGGTGGAGTAAGCGTGCTACATGTCTTGCCCACCTCATCACCTTCCTAGATTTGATCCTTATAACATTTAATTAAGAATGTAAAATCATAAAACATTAAATTTCATTTACGGCTACATGTTTCGATAGGAAAATATCATCAGGTAAATATTATGTAATGAATTATGCTAACTTTCCTCTTAGGCCTTGGTCGAAATGTATACATTTTCCAATCGATAAATCGATTATATAAATGTCATATTGTTTTGCACAATATGCGAACACATTTTTTCACAGTGTTCAATCTTTTATATTAATCTATGTTTGTTACGAAGTACGAAGCTCCTAATTATGTAATTTTCTCTGTCCGTTTTATATTTTCACTGGGTAAAATAGCTTATTCTGATATCCACGTGTGTGTCTAAAACACGAATATAAATATTATAATTACGAGTATTATAATTCAGCAACGTACGTAAATACTCTGGTATCTGTCAAGTCGAATTGATTTATTTTCTTAGACGTTCCTTGGCGCTAAATACAAGTAGATTCTATTTATATGTTTACTACTTACCTCATGTTCCCCTGCTGTTCCATTAACCCACCAGCACTGACAATGTATTCACGGTTTACAAACGCTTCCAAACAATGCACCAATGTTTCGTTCTGTAGTTCTTTATGAAAATCTTGGAGATCATTTTCAGAACTGCAAACCAAATTCGTACACTTCTCTACCACCAGCACAGAATGTTCAATCTTTTTTTTTACAACATAACCTTATATTTCGCTTAGTGATTATCTGTATCAGCTGTCAGAATAACAATCGAATTTCACTCGTCTCGTATAAACATCTGGCAAGAGTTCTTTATCGTGTACCTGAAATATTCTTCACTCCATTGTTCAGATCTGCACAGAGCCTCGGCGTTGTTTGTATTGATGTTGCTCGGGAATGGAACAGGGTTAATTTTCAACAGACGCCAATCACAGACGCACCCAGCCCTGCGTCACACCGAGACGCAGAAGCAGCTATTGCGCCTGCGCGATCATTTATTGAATGTGTGAGAAGGAGAGAGGTGATACGACGCATATATACATTTATAAACGGGTATTAGTTAACATTAGGGCTTTGACTCCTGTGAAATATGGGCTTCAATGTCCGATAAACACTTTATCTATGGTACTGCTTTGGGTAAGAGACAACGTTTGACACCCATGCAAAACAACGGATAAAATTATGTGAGATTTGTGATTTTATGGATGTGAAACTTTTATTGTGCTTAAACGGGATTTAATTTTCATTATTTCCACGGAAATTAAGGCATGAGTGTTATTGGTCCACCATTAAAAATCTAGGATCCTGGAATACACGAAATTTGAAACAGTTTACAGCAGGCAAATATATAATCACACTCATGTTTAATCATAACAATAATTTTCTTGATTTTAACGACATGTGTAGAGTTCAAGGGCCCTTAACAATAAAATTTGGTGAAAAGCTAATCATCTTACATATTTATCCCTATAAATCACCACAGTACATTCCACCATCTTCAATTTTCGACAAATATGCCCACTTTCTTCTACCGAAATTATGATTACGTGGATTTTTACCTCCATTTCACCATGTATCATTGCGTGGTGCTTGCATAGGCCTTTCAGGTTACAAAAATCATTTACCGTCAAACTTCTCCAGTTACATTCCGCCAAGATTGGATTTTCAAACACATTCAACTTACGTTCGTCTCAGAGAGTAAGATATCACGTTTTACAACCATACATAACAAAATGCAAAATGCGAGATTTGAGGTTCTCACAGCGTTGAGTCCGAAGATGGCTGTCTTCTGGGATGTTGGCGCCGTGTAGTCTGGTAGAAGTTTACCGACGTTTCGGAGGAGCTTGTTGCCACCATTATCCTGATCATATTTATCACCCTGAGGATTGAGGCAACTACTTCCGAAACGTCGGTTAAATTCTACCAGCCTACAAGGCGCTGGAACCCAGAAGACAGCGACTTTCAAAAGGCAAAATAATATATTTTTTGTATCTAAATCCTTGGCCAATGACAATTCTGACGAATAAATGAATAATATAAAGGATTTACCGCATTTGTGATGGCTTAAGAATCAAATTTGGTACGATTTGTACTTACTGTGTGTGTATGTGTGAACGTGATGTGTCGTTCTGGTACTGGGCACAGTCCAGTACTGGAGCGGGAACAAAGTGTTTCTCTGTGCGGACCCGCCCAAGAGGCAACTCTCATTTCCGCACTGATACATGTGATTAAACCCACCAACAAGTTCCGTCAACCTAATTCGAAAGATAAGCAGCTTCCTAGGACGCGTAACTGTGCGGAGCAGGGTCCTTCTTCAGGCGCTAACAGTCGCTCAGCTGGTCAAATATTACCCTTCTTTTATTTGACCCCAGAGTTCAATACCAAACGGTCCCTATCCTAAACGAGATAAATTAGGCGAACAAATGTATTTAAAAACCATTTCAATATTATCCTTCCATATATGATTATGCCTCCCAAATGGTTACTTTTCTTCAGGATTTGCAACCAAAACCATCGATATGTTTCTTGCTTCCTGCATTCGTGCTGTATGCCCCGTCCATCTCATCTTCCTTCATTTGATCGGTCTAATAATATCATATCCCAGATGTTCAGTTTTCTCCATCTCCGTTATATCTACTCAATCATGGGTCTAAATATTCTCCAGCATTTTGTTCGTATACGTCGTTAGTCTCGCAAAATTTAATCGATATATTTTCGTACATTCTGATGATGATGTATTCCTGTCAAAATAACATCTTGATTTGTTATACCACTCGTATTGTGCCTGTCCGGTCACGAGATTGGTTGACTTATAAGAAGAAAACAGTGGCTTGTCCTGGAACTTGATACGTTTTCACATTCCTCAAGGTCGAACTCAAATTCAGCAATAAATTTGCAGATTTTGCATGACAATAAATAAGAAAGAGAAGGGGCAGTGATGTATTTTAGGGCATTATCCGGGGATTTTCCTAGACAGAGTAAATAAAGAAAAATAATATCCCTATCAGTTTCGTCAACAACACGGCACAAAGTCTAAGACACGAGGAATGCGAAGTTTGTTGCACAATCGTTATATTTATATTTCATGAGCTGCTTTGTTTCTGTTATTCATGGTTATGTCTGGTTTGCATGCTGTTATTTACCGACCTATGTGAATTTCGTCATTAAGGTACATAATTTTTGTCTTACCATCTCGTACCAACATCACGTATGTTGTATTCTTGATATGAGCCTGCCTTTGTCAATGTCACGTTCTTAATCGTCTATATTTATGTGAGTGTAGCAAAGTTTAATGCCGTTGTGAATTGCACATTCCAGCAGAAGTACTTTTATAAACGTTTATTTTTTTTTTATTTCAGAATTATAGTCCCTCAAAGTAAGTGTCAAAGAATCTGGGTTTTCCCGACAAACTTATACAAGAACGATAAATCTTTCCCTCTTTGTATTAAAATTTTCATAACTCGCGAATGAAACTGATTTTTCAGTAATTTTATGTATTAAAATTTTCATAACTCGCGAATCAAACTGATTGTTCAGTAATTTTCTTGTTCGACGCGTAGCAATATTTTATGTTAAGAAAATTAATGTTCCCCATTCTTTTATGAGACAATTTCCGTAAACCTATGAAATCGAAGCTCATATAAACAACATTTAAGAATTCAGTCCGTACCGCGAAGAAAACACCACACTTCACCATTAAAAAGATCGACTGGTTAACGCTGTTTATGGAAATAATCGATGTTTATTGTGAGAATCATACGAAAGACATACGAAATGAAGAGTTACTGATTGTTAAAGCACGTAGAAGACCATCGAAAGAGCTGTCAAATAAATGAATGTCGATTCTAGTGATACATATGACCTGTCGTAGAATACGTGTCAGTTTCATAAGCAATTTATAAAACATGAATTAACCTTTCAAAGACAAACATATTTTATGGCATGAATTTGAAACATGTTTTATGTACTTCGTAGACTGTCCTAAATTCTGTTATTATCTGGTTAAAAAAAAGTTTGTGGCTATAACCTGTAGGAATAAATGTAAGAACGAAATGTCTAGTTAGTGAATAGTATATCTTTTAATTAAATTAGTGTATGATGATTAAAGGGAATGAACATTGTTTTATTATCAGCATCTTTACAAATCACTATCACGCTGTTAAACACTGGGGATACATACGGACATACATTTCTAATGCATCACATTTAATCTAATGACGTCATGTTGTATAAATATCGTTGTCTTCTTTTGAAATGCAAATCGATTTTGACAGAAGCTGATTTATGGCTCCACAACTGGTTGTAGGAAGAACGTAGGGTCACATCCAAATCTGGTATCGATCAGCGGTGACTAATGCGTCCTCCCGAGGGGACAACCGGGCATCCTACAGCAAATAGAAATGCTCAGCATTAGTTTCTGGTAAAATGGAAAATCGTAGAATGCTCGTATCTGCAATGAGTCAGTCCAAAATAAACAAGGTTATAGATATACATTTATATCGAATGAAGTTGTATGTTCTCAGAAAAGCCTTTCGAAATCCAGTTGCTACAATGTATCATAAAATCAAGAAATTCAGATGTGCGAACAAAAGAACAATATTTATATAAACTAACTTTATAGAGCAGTGTCTTTGAGAAGTTTATAGAACGCTCATCTAGTCAAGAACCCAACTTCTCATTATCTTCTTCACAAGACTCCGCCGCTGGTCCCCTCCTGAGCCAGATTAATCCAGTCTACATTCTCCATAATATTTTTATTTAATATTAATTTCAATATTTTTCTCCTACCTATGGTCTCGTCTCTTCAGGTTTTACTACTAAACTATTTAATGAATTTCTCATATTTGCTCTCCAGACGTGCTATGTGTTCTACCAATCTGATACTCCTTGACTTGGTTACTTTAATAGGCATATTATTTTTTGAACAATACAAATTAGAAGCTGTTTTTTACGCAACGATTTTCATCTCAGTCTTAACTGTGAACAGTAAAATATATTTTCCTCAGAATCTTGTTTTTTCCTTAGGGGCGAGAGACCATGTTTCACACCCATACAAAACAGCAAGTGAAATTAGTCTCGTATATTTTAATCTTTATGTTTTTTATGCGAGATTTGAAGTCAAGGTGGCGATGTTCTTGTGACGCCGTGTAAACACGTCGACATCAACTCACTATTTTATCTTTTTTTACATAAGAGACGAAAGGACAGAATATTTTCAAGTTAACGACATCGAACATTTCCCGAATTTAATTTGCTTTTAATTTCTTCAGAATTAAACTTTGATTTGTTAATGTCGTTCCATAGTGTTCGAACTTTGAAACATTTTCAAAGGATTCATTGGCTATATTAATATTACGATATTGTCTTGCATTCTAGAAACGAGACGTGGGGATGCATGGATATTTTCCTCCACTCCCCTAGGCATCATCAGGCACCAAAGGACAACTCCCTTACTGCACTGCCTCTGGTATGCAGATATGGTGAGATTTGCCTTAGTTGGTTGCTGTCAGCTCATACTTAATTTGATAAGACGTTTCATCAAACACTGCTTACTCAGTAAACACAATTTTCACGCACCATTTACGCTCACTGAGCGGTCCACAGAAAGCTGTCAGCTCCAAATCGAACCATCTCATTCAATTCTGTCCCCTCTTGCAGATTTCATGTGCTAATTGAAGTGATCTCGAGCTTTCTCTAATTATGCTTGTGACAGGCGAGTACACTGTCAGCAAAAGCTGTATTAACTGAAGTGCTGTACACTCTGACGCGGAGGGTCACAATGATGGAGTGGTCACAGTGTACTCAGCCATCAGTGGCGGCTGGTGTCACTACCAAGTTCAGGTAACTATGTGTATCCTGCGGCTACAGTAACAAAATTTGTCATTTTATTTGTATTAAGAAGTACAGGACACAATATTATTGTTTTAGATTCTGATACCGCGTAGACTCGTAAATAAATACCAAGTATTCGGATAAAAATACTCTCTTGATCTTCAGGGATGATGATTTTATCTACAGACTAGTTTACAAGTCGCCATCATCATTGTCACCGCCACGAATACTTCAAATCTAACAAAATTTGTGGTTACTGAACCAAATTCACATTTGGCGTAAACTATTTTATAATTCGTGTAAAGAATTAAGACGTAAAAAGCGAAAACTTTAAACCGAAAATTAAAATATTAATATAATAAAAGTTATGCGTCTATATACGACGTTTAATTTGTCCCTGTACGTCGCCACAAAGACGGTCGGGAGAATGGAGGTATAACTCCACGCATACATAACTTGGGCACTAGATAAAGATTATCGGGGAGCTTCACATTCCAGCCGCTTTACCCCGGGGTAAGTACCCCCGATATCTATCGGATAGGAGGTACGATGTGACTCAGAGTCTGACGCGGTGGCGTAGAGAAAAATCTCTGCCTATACCGGGAACTGAACCCAGGTCGCCCAGTCCATAGCCTATTCGTAACATTGTGCTACCCTGCCTTCCTGCGCGGTGCGTTTATGAACCAAGAACCAGGAGCACTGAGAGACGAGACGTTGCCAACTAAGACGCGATCTGTGAAGTGGATAAGAAATCTTACTGCAGACTGAGCAGTGGGCTTCGTCAGAACCATCTCCACAGCCGTCACGCCCGGAACAGGCGATGGCATCCGATCTGCAGCGCCCGTTAGCACACCGGAACGGACAATATCCTGAGGTCCTCCTGTTGGTTCGAGCCTTGCACGCGTCTCTGGGTTCGTCACTGCCATCTCTGCACTTCACCATAGCGTTGCAGAACTCGTATTCGGGCAGGCAGCTTCCGTCCAAACACCTGTACGTGCGCTCCGGGCACCCTGAGGATAGACGCTAACCATTAGACCACTATGACGCCCTGGTTCTATTCTGCCCGTCAAACAAACATCTACCTTTAACATCAAAGACGACAGTCCGCATATTATTATCAAAATAAGTCTTTACGCACGTAGAACCATGATCGTAGGGCGTAGGGTACACTCACCTTTGGCGCTCCGGGTCGCATTACAGTGGAGCTCGTCCTCCGCGCCCGGACAGTCAGGCGTGCCGTCACACCTCCCCGCTCGAGAAACGCAACCTCCGTTCTGCCCGCATCGGAACGCTTGTGGGGGACAGGACTTTGTGTCCTGGCACCCCTCGTCCGACCCGTCCGGACAGTCTTGTCGTCCGTCACACACAAAGAACCAACTGATGCAGACGCCGGTCGACCGACACTGGAAGGCAGTGCGTCATTTATATCATATTATAATAGCCTGAGTCCGTACCGCGAAGAAAACACAGCACTTCACCATTACAAATATCGAATGGTTAACGCTGTTTAAGGAAATAATCCATGTTTAGAGTGAGAATCATACGAAATAAATACACTCTGTGGGCAAAACCCAGAATTATCTAATCTCAAATTTGCGATTTAAAGTGTTAAAGCTAATAGGGTGTCCGGATATTTTAAATAAAACTGTTTTATTTGCGTTTAGAGAACAGAACTTTTTGTTCCCACTTGTTAAACGTGACAAACCTGGAAGGTTCCTTTGTAACACCCTGTGTTACCGACTCCGCAGGAGTAACTGTCATTCTTGATGACGCAATCACAGACACCGTCCAGGCAGCGCGATCCGGGGTCTGCGATCTGGCACTGCAGGTCGGAAACGCAGGTCAGACCCAGTGTGACCGCCACCGATTCACCCACACCGCGTACACGCGTCCACACAACTGTGAAATGACACGTGTTGTCAGAGATTACAGTCAAGAAGATACCTTTTCCACATCCCAACATCTTACCTGTGTCTCTTAATACAAATAAATAGTCTGACTCTATGTAGAAGAGGCCCTCGTGAGAAGCTGATAGTTGCTTAGTCGGTCAATTTTTCCGTCTTTAATGGAACTCGAAAATTTGTTACAATATTTATCAGAACTTGCGTCCGTGCCCTATGCTAAATTGAGACCCCACATTCATTTTAATATTATCCTCCCATCTACGTCTCTCTTCCAGATAGTCTCTCCTCTTCAAGGTTTACGAGTGAAGTTCTTTTTCCAATGTTTTAAGCTTGAGCTTTCGCTATCTGTTTATGCAAAGCCTTGAAGTTCGGCAACTTATCCAACGTGGATGTTAGGTGTGTTATCTATTGTACGGGGGCTTTTGTAGCTTACAGCTTCCTGGAAATTCAACACGCTCTGCTGAGGACGTGATAGATATCTCAAATGTCCTTAAATTTCCATACATTATGTAGATGAGATGCGCTGAACCAAAAGCCTTGAATATTTTTAGATACTTTTTCTTCTTGTCAGTTTCCGCTGGAAAAAAACAGCAAATCCTTTTAAGTATAGCCTAGACATGAGATTGGTGTATTCACCGTTAGTTTTTGTTTATCGGGTGCGTTTTTCTTTGAAGTGAAATGAAGTAAAATGATCTTTTATAAGTGGTACTAAAACCTACTGAACTGCTTAACAAAGTAGTTAAACTGATTTTATTAAAAGAGCCAATGGAATTATTTTTTTTATGAAGGAAAATGAAAAATGTTATGATTCCATAGCTGAAAACTTTTAGGTTTTTAACTATAAATGTGACAGTAAATTATATGAATAATTTTTCAGAGATTTTCAGTTTCTACTTTACTCGTATTTCAGAAAAAATTTAAATTTAAATTTTAGTTGCATTTTCAAGCCAAAGTCTCCAAAAGATTAACTTCTGAGTTACTTCATGTGTATTTATAACTTTGTAATCACTTTTTAAAAATTATGCTATTATAAATAAGATAAAAGTCTAAATATATTTAACAGTTGTTATAAGCAACGTCCCTAGGTTCGAAGTCGGATTTATTTGGTGAGACGCATGATACAAACTCCGCATACAATTTTAGAAGTAGGAACCCCACAGAGAAGATTTTCACTGCCACAAGTCTTAGTTCTAGATATGAAAAATAATTTCTTTAGCTGGAGTGTCTGACTGTAAACATCAGTTTACCGACGTCGTACTGCGTTAATGTTACTGTTCTGACTTACCTGTTGATGCCATCGGTAACGGGGAAGTCACTTCAGATGCAGAAGGTAGAGAGTCCTCTTGTAAAATCGTCATTGTCGTTGATTGTTCAGACGCTAATATTTCTGACGTATCTTCCTGTGTCTCGTATTGTTGTGTTGTCATCGCTACTGACACAAGCAGTTCGCTTAATGTCTCAGAAGATGGCGTTGAGAAATTCGACAATGGGATAAATGAATGTGTATCTATTGTGGCCATTTCTGGTTTTGGTGTCTGTGTTTCTTGAAGAGACTGTGATAATTGATTTTGATCTTCAGAAGATGTTTCTAATGTCGATGGTGTCGTTATGAATGTCGTTTCTCCTGCTGGATCTTCGGATGTGTATTGCGTCAACGGGGGTAATCTGGAAAACATAGTCGAATGTGTTTCATCTGAGGCAGGGGCCTGTGTAGACAATGAAGATTCATCCATCGGAAAATTGTTTAATGACGAAGAAGCTAATGGATTTTGTGAAGACGTCCGTGAGGGTACAGGAGGTTCTGTTGGCCGTGGAGTAGAGATTCCAGAAGAAGTCAAAGATGAAGTTGATAATGGGTGCCAATCTGTTGCTGATGGCGATAAGCCCCATACTGATGATGTATTTGGTGAGTCTACCGAAGAGGCCGAAGGATTTCCGTCTCCCGTGGGAATGGTCGACGGGAAACATGATCTGCCACGTTGCTGCATCGGAGGGTTGCACTGGCAGCGACCGAACAGGTTGGGAATCAGGAAGTCGCAGTGCGTATCGCTGTCCCAAAGGCGGCAATGTGCGTCGCTGTAACACACGTCACCTGGACTGGCCGCTGAAATTAGAACCCGACAGGACACTAAGAACCAGTTTTAAATTGTGTACAAATATCAGGATGACCAAAGAAGGCTTTGATCGTGAGAGCAAAGGAAAACGCCAAACAGGAAGACCAAGATCAAGATGGGAAAATTTGGCCAGCAAAGATGTCACACTCAAGGACGGAAGACCAGATGAGGGAACACGGGAATAGATGGAGAGGATTGGCTGTCTGACGATCCACATTAAATGGAAACGTCTCAGGAAGAAAAATAATAATATACTAGATGATAAAGTAAAGGAAGATAAATTGGGCGGGGCATGAAAGAAACGAGAAATACGCACAATTTAGTCAGGAGACTTGAAGGGAAGAGGTCACTTAGAAGACATAGTACTCATAAATGGGGGATAATATTAAAACGGGCCTTAAAAATCGGGTAGACGTGTGTGGAATTGATTTATTCGGTTCGTGATAAGGGATTATTTTCAGGTTTTTGTGAACTTCGTAAAACAAATTTTTGGATTCTCTGAAATCCGGCGAATTTCTTGAATATCTAATCGGTCATTAGCTTCTAAGAATTATTCCATGGAGTCAGTTACTACCTGAAGTACTCACAGGCCTAGTTTATCCTGTAAAATGCACATTCCTTTCGAATAAACTGATTCCCTAGGATTCAGCTTAATGTTATTCAATCATTTCATTCTCTATTTCTATGTGAATATCTCCAAGGTGTTTCTCCACCAAATTTTTCTTTGCATTCATAGCTTCTTTCTTCTTTGCTACGTTCCCAGTCCATCGTAGCGCCCATGTATGTTTCTGGGACAAATAATTATTTTCACCTATATTATTAAACATATATTATATCAAATTGTTTAAGTAAAATTGTAAGTAAATTAGTATGTAATGTCATGTAATGGTTATCTTATAAGATAACGCGGATTTCTTTTTTAAGAAAAAATGCAGTTTGCTTTGAGCTTCATACGAATGAAAATTAAATTGGCCCAATTATTTTCAGTCTATCCTATAGTAATGTAGTTATATTTACCTGTCCGGAGTGTTCACAGAAATGACAAGCAGCCATTACGAATTAAATTCGCTGAGTACTAAAGTATTCACTGGCTTTTCCAGAGAAGGTTAAGAAAGTATGAATTCCATTAAGTTAAATGTTAGTGAGTATTATGTAGTGACTAGAAACGGGTTTCTTTAAATATTATTCACTCACGCAAGTTCAAGGTCTATCAAGTTCACGTAGAATTTATGGTTAAAAAGTTGTACTGTAACAGGTCTTCGCTGAAATTTTGTTCATATCCCACAGATTTTAGCAACTATTTCATTGCTAATTTGTAATTATCAATCCCACGTCAAATAGCCTCAGTAACTGACAAAGGGTTTGTTATTGACTACGCCACAGACAACGTTCAATCTCGAACTCAATTATAAAACAAAAATTTCCTCTTGAAAAGTTGGTAGGTATGTCCACAAAAACGTGTATCTCTACTCTGTCCTGAGAAGATTGAATTCATTATATGCCTTCTATATTCCTCGCCAATCTCACTCTTCTTAATAATACACGGTGAAGAGTAAAAGTTATGAAGATTCTCATCAATAAATCTTCTCCACAGCATCATCTTGCGTCTCATCTGTTGGGTCCAAATATTCTCCCCAAAATTCCTGTTCTCAAAAACTCTCAGTCTGTGAAATTTTAAGGTTGATACTGCGGTGAAGGTTAGGATGTTGATATTGTGCGCTGTGAAGCGTTAGGAGAATCAAGCTGCTTCCATCTTAATCCAAAACATTGGTATCTATCTACAAGTTCACATGGCTTTACAACCCAGAAGATAAACAAGATAATTTAAAAAAAATCCATAAAAAAGAAGATAATTTATTGACCAGCTGAGAAACTATCATTTTGTCAAGAGATACTCTGCTACTTTGATTTTAGTTAATTGATAAGTCGCTTAATTTGTGCCTATATTATTATTTACAAACACTGAATTTCCCATACGTGTCAGTGCGTTAAAGATGCCTTATTTTTAAAAAGAAAATAGTGTAATTTCATACTGAGAGGCCATTAAGGTAGATGCAAAACATTTTATTACACTTTAACAGCGATAAATATCTTATATCCTTGATGAGGTTTTGACACCCCTGAAATCATGTTTCGGAAGTCACGATTAAACATGGAAGTCACATACTCAGAAGGGTCACTCACACGTGCTGTAACTAATAACATATTTATTCATCGCGTTTGGCTCGTGGCGTGTCTGCTTCCAGTACCGGAAGTAAGTTCATCCTGCACTTACCTTAATATTGCGACCTCTTGACAGAACATGGCGACCCTATCAACAATACTCAATCACCCCAACTTTTCTTCAAGTCAAAAATTCTCTGACAGCCAGGAGACAAAGTGACAGGGCAGTTAAGCTGATAGCTCACTTTTAGAATGAGTGGAGCCCTACCTCCACTCCACCATACGTCTTAATAATGTTGTGGTTTGGAATTAGTTTCTTATGAGAGAAGAAGTCAGGAAGCTTCATCGAAATTCTTTTCGCTGTCATTTAAATAGAGACAAAGTTAAATTAACCCTTTGAATCCGGAGATCGTCTGAATAATATTTAAGATTTCATCCCGAATATTTATGGCGTATGGGAGATTTTCCGAGATAGAGATATTTGAACGTCACAACTGAAGCTTTATTCGCTTCTGTACATGTGTCTGCTTCGACCCAGTGTCCTATTAAATTCAAGAAATAACTGTGAAAGGACTTCACCATTTGTAACACCCGCCATCCACCTGTCTTGACACAAAGCAGGTCTCCGAGATGACAGGAATATTATTCCGCTATATTACTCGTCGTTAGGCTAACAACCTCGGAATGTATTCCATTTTCAAAATGGCTACTAAGTCTCAGTTCTTGAGCAGCCAACGGAAGAAGTTACTTATGGCAAGGTACTCTGCACAGGACAGGTGTTTGTGGTAACATCCACACAAGGTTTCGCCCACCACATGACTGCCCACGCCAAGACAAAGCTGTTTGCTTACTGGAACTAAAATTTGACGCTGCTTCAAACATAATGACTGTCTTGTTTATTTTGTACTGGTAACAACTATCTGTATAGAAAGCCAAAAATGGCTGTCTTTTAATATAGACTTTATTCTGGGATTTAAGGACGTTTCGGAGGATCTGACTGCCTCTATCGTCAGTATCTGATGGTACATCATTCCAGGAGAAAGTAATTTAAAACCAGAAATCGTACCAGAAGGCTAGGAGACTATAGACGTGTACTTACGGCTGAGACATGTGTGTCTCCGAAATTGCAGGTACCCTGAGTCACAGCGACAGGACCCATGGAGACAAATGCTGTTCGCTACCTTCATGGAACACTGCTCCTTCACCAGACAATCAAATCCGAGCAGCGTAGCTGAAATCAGATCACGGCGCGTTGTCAATGCGTAAGAGATTTGAGGATCTTAGTACCGCGGTAAATACGTGGATTGTGACACACCCTGTATTTTATGTAGTTAGGAACGTGTAAAGATGGAGGCGTTATGTTCCTCTGAAATGTTGCTAACCACATTCAACTACGCGGTGTCACAACCCGGAAGACATCAATTGACCATTCAAGTTGTATATTTTTTAAAAAATAAGAGGCATCTTTTTTTACATCAGGTGTCACTGACAATAAATAATGAAACAAATTTTAAAATTGTCATAGAGTGTTGCTAAACAACGCAGCACACTGTCACAAGAACATTAATTTGAAATTCAAGTCCTTACAAAATTGTAAGCTTAAGTATGAATGTTTTCTGTTTAAATTATTAATGGGACAACTTAGCTTGGATATTAAAGACGAGAGTTGTGATGCATTAGTGGAAAGTTACTTGCCTGTGACAGACACTGAGATTTTCGTGGTTGTAGACAAGAACACATTTTATTCTGGTAATGATACTTGAAGCGAAATCAAGCATTTTCTTATGCTGGGGGTCCACTGTTCGTACCTCATTACTCCTCTTACGATATAATTCTTAGAAAATTCGTTATAGTTATTTATTACAGTAAATTATTTTGTTAGGTCTTCATGTAAAGTGACTGTTGTCGTCTGATTTGAAGAAAACATCATTTGAAATCTGATAAACATCTGACTAAAAGTTGCATTTAAGAAATTATATTTAAGTTTATATAATTTTATACACCTGAAGATGGTTCTTTTAGAACTGAAACATGTCGTGTAAAAAGTGATGTTCTAATGTAAATCGAACATTTCGATAGAGAACATCATTTAATATATTTTAAATATTTAAATGTTAATTATATTAATATTTTAATATTTAATAGGAATTTTATTGTGATTAGACTAACAAGATTTAAACAAATATATATTTATCACAATATGACGCAACTTTATCATCTCATAGGCAAGGAAGGAAAAATAAATGATAAACGCGAAACATGGAGAAGCCGGAACAGGCGACAACCTAATATTTGACTTATGATAATGATCCACGTACAATCTGTAGTGTACTCACACTGAACACACATGGTAGTGTTGTACTCTGCGTAGTAGGGCAGACAAGAACATCGCCCTTCCTGGCACCGGCTGTACGTCACGTCGGCTAGACATTCCTGGTCATTGCTACACTTCGAGCCCAGTAGCCTGAGATGTCCTGTAGAGTAAGCCGACAGGGAGGAGACCTGAGGACAAAGCAAACCCTGCCAACTACTTTGCAGCCTCAGTGGACTAGAGGACGATCTCAGTATTTAGGGGCCTAGGTTTCGATTCCCTGCAAGTACAAGCACAACGGACCGACTCTTGGACCCATCCAGTGGGTGTTAGGGTCTCATTTCTCGGGGTCAAAGCAACTGGAGTGTTATACTAAACGTTTACCTCAGTACAGTGGCCCAGATTAATAATGTGTTACGATATAAATCCACGTCCTCATAGATTACTGCTAAGGGCAGGGACATTTTACGTATGTTGTTGAAAACCTGCAGAGAGAAATCACTTATAGGCTATGAACGTTTTATTTAATCTTAAAACTTTGCATACCGTGTAGTGTATTAGAATATAAAGTAAACAAACCAACAAACTCTCACAAACTAGTGTCTTTTTTTTATAGTGTTAATAGTTTGTTTGTTTGCTTATTTTATGTTTTATTTAATCCTTTTAAAGTCGAAGTCTGTCGAAATTATATTTAAGAATTCAGTCCGTACCGCGAAGAAAACACTACACTTCACCATTACAAAGATCAACTGGTTAACGCTGTTTAAGGAAATCATCGCTGTTTACACTGAGAATCATAGTTCGTCTGATTAATATTTAAGAATTCAGTCCGTACCGCGAAGAAAACACTATACTTCACCATTACGAAGATCAACTGGTTAACGCTGTTTAAGGAAATAATCGCTGTTTACACTGAAAATAGTTACAAAAAAATTAAAGACGCTCTGTAGGAAAAATTCAGAGCTACTGAATGTTAAAATAAGTGTTTACATATTTGTAACATTAGACTTTGAAGGGCTAAATACTGAAAAGTGTTAAATATAAGAGTTTTAGATAATATTAATAATAATAATATGCCATTTTTTTTACAATAAACAGAATATTATTAAAGTAAGATTTGATTTTCACGTAAAACAAACGGACATTAAGACAGACTGGTTGACTGAAACGTCGCCCATCACGTCTTCATGTCATCTGCTTCGTGCAGAGAACGCGAAATAGCGGTTTACAAAATGTCTGTATTATGATCGTGCCTGAATTATCCTCCTTCCGCGTAAAGACGCCAAGTAAATCGGCAACCAGCCAAGCGCATCTGACGTTTTACACATTTTGACTTCAAAAGACACCCTGGATGCTTTTCGTCACTGAAGCGAGGGATTTCTCCCTACACAAGGAATTAGAGCAGAGTAAGAGGGCGGGTTTTATTAGTGTTCGTGTAGTGACGCTCTAAACTTTGGTGTAGCATGCTGCTATAAGTGTTAACAGAAATATGAAGAAATGAGCATGGAGTCAGGGAGAAAGTGTAAAGATTATTATGAAGTTTCGGAAAAATCTAATTATTATGCATAAAAATTATTATAATGATGTATATTTTCAAAATACTGTATAGTTACATTACGAAATGATTTTAGCACTTTTTATTTCAAATAAAGTGTGGAGGAGAATATTTAGACCTAAAAATTATTACGTACATGGACAATTTTGGAACTCCGAGATTCAAACTATTAGTTCAGTGAGATTTATAAGGATCTGATGGGCTGGAATGTATCTTGGATTGTTACACAAGAAATTCATGCTAAATTTTGATTATGAAAAATGATTCCATTTGTAAAACCGAGAAATTATAACATGAAGATGGAACTTCGGGACTTTGGTTGTGTGAGAGATTCAGGATCATTTCTAATGACAGACTCTTTTGCTCGCAGTTTTGAACCAGAGATTTTTAGAGAGGTTTTATAGCCTTTTTAAAAAAATGAATTAAATTACATTGAAAAGCAACAGTTACTTTGTGAGTGGTGGAAAATTTTCAGAATCACATTTCTGGAAGATTCTGCCAGTATACACGTAGGAATGTTCAGGAAGTTAGGCCAAAACTTCCACTAACCACAAACGACTGAATTTTTCCACGTCTTACTACGAGCGTCGCAGAGACTGGATGGGGTAACGGCCGAATGACTATTGTTCATGACCTAAGAAAACATCCTCATACCTAAGACGTGAACACGCACAATAACCTGTCCTTATCAGTCACTACGTCACTCAGAACAGAAACAGTTACTTAATTTATATAAAAAAATTATTTTTAAAATACAACCCTCAAATCTTTAACCCAACGTTTACTAAATCACACACACAAAAATTCTTCGGAAATGTTTAGTGTCTGGTAGTCACTTAGCTGGACACGTTTCAAGGAACCAAGTTGTTCCTTACCATGTTAACAAAATCCCGCCACTGTTCCCTGTGTTTTGAGTCAGTTGAATCACATTTTACTTCTTTAAAGTACATTTTAATATTATCCTATCATTCAAGCCTTGGTAGTAATTTCTTTGCTTCAAGCTTTCAGAAATACTCCATATCTTTATTTAATCATTAGTTTGAATTTCTTTATTCGTTCCTAAGTTTCAGGAAGGTGATATGGACTGGATTCAGCTGGCTCAGGATATGGTCCCTAGGCTAGCTTTTGTGAACACGGAAATGAAACTTAACGTGTCGTAAATGACTGGAAAGTTTCCTGTGTAACTAGTATTACCTTCTAAAGGCGATTCCTCGCTACAGAGTCGCTTAGTTAACAGCATTCTGTTAACATTATCCTACTTAATGAGATAAAACACATCCGGCTTCCGTTAAAGTGTTATCTGTTTTATTTATTTATTTTCTATTATAATACTTATTCATTATGTGAAAGTGATATTAATAAAGAATAGTATTATAGAAGATGGCTGTCTTCTGGGTTGATGGTTAATCGCCCTGATGATGGAGGCAGCAAGGACCTCTGAAACGTTGGTTAATATCTACCAGACT